AAAGGCATCAAAACTGGAAAAGAAGTTGTAAAATTGCCATTGTTCACCGATGACATGATATTGTACATGGAAAAAATCTAAACACTACATCAAAATACTGCTAGACTTAATAAATGAATTCTGCAATGTAGCAGGATACAAAATTAACACCCAGAATTCCATGGCTTTTTTTTTTTACACCAGTAATGAACTCACAGAAATAGAAACTAAAAAAAAATCCCATTTACCATTGCAACAAAAAATTAAGATACCTAGGAATAAATTTAACCAAGGAGGTAAAGGACCTATACTCAAATTTACAGGATGCTGAAAAAAGAGATAGAGGAAGACATAAACAAATGGAAGAACATACTGTGTCATGGATTGGTAGAATCAACATCATTAAAATGTCCATACTACTAAAAGCAATCGATGGATTCAATGCAAACCCCATTAAAATGCCAACAGCATATTTCAAAGATCTAGAACAAACTCCAAAAATGCATCTGGAATAAAAAAAGACCCCGAATATCCCCAGCAATCCTGAGAAAGAATAACAAAGTTGGAGGGATCACAATACCAGATATCAAGCTATATTACAAAGCCACTGTTCTCAAAATTGCCTGATACTGGCACAAGAACAGACACATAGACCAATGGAACAGAACAGAGAACCCAGATATCGACCAAATATTTGACAAAGGAGGCAAGCACATTCAATGTATTCAAGACAGTCTCTTCAATAAATGCTGTTGGGAAAATTGGACAGATACTGGCAAGAAAATGAAAGTAGAACAACAATTTACACCATACACAGAAAATAAATCCAATTAAGTAAGAATGAAAACCATAAATATCTTAGAAGACTTCATTGGCCGCAAAATAGCAGACATATGTCATAGCAATATATTACTGATACACCTCCTAGGGCAATGGAAACTACGAAGAAAATAAACAAATGGCACTATATCAAAATAAAAAACTTCTGCACAGCAAAAGAAACCATCAACAAAACAAGAAAGCCCACTGCATGGGAGAACATATTTGCCAATGCTATTTCAGATAAGGGTTTAATCTCCAAAATATACAGAGAACTCATACAACTTAACAAAAGGAAGATAAACAATCCAATCAAAAAATGGGCAAAGGACCTAAATAGACACTTTTTAAAAGAGGACATACAGAAGGCTGAGAGACATATGAAAACATGCTCAAAGTCACTAATCATCTGAGAGATGCAAATCAAAACAACAATGAGGTACTAGCTCATATCTGTCAGGATGGCTATCATCAACAAATCAACAAACGACAAGTGCTGGAGAGGAATGCAGAGGAAAATGAACCTTCTTGCACTACTAGTGGCAATGCAGACTGGTGCAGCCATTGTGGATAACAGTATGGCGTTTCCTCCAAAAATTAAAAATGGAACTTCTATTTGACTGAGTAATCCCACTTTTAGAAATGTATCACATGAAAACAGAAACACCAATCAGAAAGGATATATGCACCCCTATGTTCATAGCAGCACAATTTACAATAGCTAAAATTTGGAAACAGCCTAAGTGCCCATCAGCAGATGAGTGTATTAGAAAACTGTGGTACATCTACACAATGGAATTCTATGTTGCTGTAAATAAGAAGGAATTCTTATCTTTTGCAACAGCTTGGATGGAACTGGAGAGCATTATACTAAGCAAAATAAGCCAGTCAGAGAACGGTAAACATCACATTATCTCACTTATTTGTGGAATATAATGAATAACATAAACTGAGGAACAAAAATAGAAACAGAGACATAGAGCATTGAACATACTGTACAACCTATGAGGGAAGGCAGGGGGTGAGGGGATCAGAGATCAACCAAACGACTTGTATGCATGCATATAAGCGAAACTAATGGACACAGACAGTAGGAGGTGAGGGCTTCTGCTTGGGGGAAATGGTGGCGGGGGAGATGTCAATGAGTGAAAAAAGTGTTGTAATGTACCCCTCGAATCACAGAAGGATACCTCAAGAAGTCGAATTAAAGAGTCACATTTATTGCAATCCGGGACTATGAGGGGCCATTCCCCAGATCTCAGAGTAACAAGATGGTCACAGCTCCAAGGTTATATAGGCAAAAAATCACAAAGGTATTGATTACATCCCAGGGTTTGGAATGAGGTACCTGGCTCGCAAAAAGCAGTTTACAGAAGCAGAATTAAGCATGTTAATTATAGTTTTGGATCTCGGGGTCACTGAATTGATAGAAATACATTATCTAAAGCCCTCGGGTCTAGTGTGGTCTCTTGGGGATCCTGAAATCTGGGCATAACACCAGAAAAATCCCACCTAGAATCCTTTAAAACCTCTGACTCCCCATCCCTGAGTGCTGGCGCTCTTTTGGGGCTCAGCCCATCTGGTATCCAGATGACCTAATAAATTCATAATTGCTCACCACTCAGCCTTATGCATTCCTCCTTTAGTGACCCTACACTTTTCATTTTACTCATTGTTTCCTTTGTTGTGGTGAAACTTTTTATTTTGATGAAGTATCAAATTTTGTTTTTGCTTCTTTTGCCTTCATTTTTGGTGCCAACTCCAAAAAAAAATCATTGTTTATGATATACACTAAATTATTTTTCATTACTAGATTATTACTAAAATATGTGCCTTAGTTGCTTTTATACTGCCCTAATTCTCCTAAATCTCTTAATTATCTTGTCATATATGCTCCAAAATATTTATTGAGAAAAACTAAGAAGAGATAAGAGAAGATCCTATATAATAAAAGGGTAATATGCAAATAGACCAAAAGGCAGAACAACCGAATAATCAATCAAAGTGTAATATGCTAATGATATGTTAAGGCTGCTCAACAGCTCGCTATGAGGTGCACTGACCACCAGGGGCAGACAGTCAACTGGTCAACCAGTCGCTATGAAGTGCATTGGCCACCAGGGGTTAGATGCTCCAACCGGTAGGTTAGCTTACTGCTGGGGTCCAGCTGATCAATTGGGACTGAGTACGATGGGGCAGACATGCCCTGGAGCCCTCTGGCGGTCCCTCTACAGCCAGATCATGCACCGGTGGGGTCCCTCAGCCTGGCCTGCACCCTCTCACAATCTGGGACCCCTCAGGGGATGTCAGAGAGCTGGTTTAAGCCCGATCGCAGGCCACTCCCCTTGAGAGGGCACCAGACAAAGGGCTCATGGGAGGGAGCCAGATGCAGGGCTCATGGCTGCGGCAGTGCAAGCTTCTCCTGATTTGGGCTGATTGGACATGAGCCCAAAGCAGGCACAGTGGGGCCAGGATGAGCGGGAGTGGCAGGTAGTAGCTGCAGGCAGCATTGGACTGTGAGTTTTGGCCTGATCCCTGCAGGCCACCCAGAGGGACCCTACCCGTGCACAAATTCATACACCAGGCCTCTAGTTTAATAATGAAATGATATAAGTACTATAGGAGAAAATTAGTTTTTCTACTTACAAATCTTCATTAAATTAAAAAGCATGGGTTTATATGAGTAGTTTCAGTGTTTATGTAATTATTTCAATGGCATAGTATTTTACCTTAATATTTGTGTCTGCTCTTTTGGAGGTTACTTTGTTTACATTGATATTGTTTTCTAAAAGGTTTCTTTTTTCTCGAATACCTTATATACACAGACATTTGCCTTCATTTTACAGTTAAACTTTTATTAACTTTTATTAATTTATGGAATAGCAATTCCAATATTCCCCAAAAGAAATACCAGTTTCAAAAATACAGCATTGCAAACACCTGGTTTAACAACCATCGCCTTGTGAATTATTCTTCTGCTATGGTAGACAGAATTCTAAGATGAGTCACCTTCAAACCCCACCCAATATTTCCATTCCTTGATGTATACACCTATTTATCATTCTCTCCTCTTGAGTGTTGGTGAGGACTGTGTTGGTTACTAATTAGTTGGCTTGAGGTAATCATAATAGAGACCTAATCTTACCTAACCTACCTTTTTTTTTTTTTACCCCATTCAAGTTGTTGCCAGGACTTAGTTCCTTGCTGTTTATTGGGTGAATGTTTCTGTTTTTTTGGTGTATGTTGATAGAAGGCCAATTTGTAGAGACTGTCTGAAATTTTCATGAACCTAGCCACAATGTGGTGATGATAGAAGATAGAGAGATAGATGATGTACAGGCTACACATTACTTCAAACACCCAAAGAAAATTCCTAATGTTACCCTTTTATAGGCATAGTATCTGCCCAACCTAAATTTCTGGCAACATATGATCTATTTTTATCACAATGATTTTGTCATTTTTGAGGATAATTTATAAATAAAATAATATAGTACATAACCTTATGGTATTGTATTTTTGTGGGTATTTTCACTCTTTTAATTTTTAGTAATTCTAATAACTACATAGTGTTAGTTTATCATGACTTTAAATAGCATTTTCATAATAAATAATGGTGCTGAATATGATTTTATATGGCATTGCCATCTCTATATCCTCTTTGGCAATGTGTCTGTTCAAGTCTTTCTTCTTACTTTATAAAGAAATTATTTATTTTCTTCCAGATTAGTTCTACTATTTAAATGATATGAACTTATTTTCCAAAATCCACAAAGAGAAGAATACAAAATCCTTTCTCCAGGATGAAACAGACAACCAGAAAAATTATCTAACTATTTATTGAATTTATTGTCAAAATTGAGTTTATGATCAAAGAAATTGACTCCACATTATAAAATGTTCTGGAAACAAACAAACAAACAACAACAACAACAAAAACCAGCTACAGTTTCAGATGTTTTCATGGGTGAATTCTACACAATCTCTTTCAGAAAAACAGAAAGGAGAAAATACTTCCCAACTCATTTTATGAGGCCAGATTTATCCTGATATCACAACCAGATAGTTCCAAAAGTAACACAATGAAAGACCTTCACAAATATAGATAAAAAAACAAAACATAAAAATACCTCATGAACATAGATGCAACAACCCTCAATCAAACATTAATCTACTTATATAAAAACCTTGGGTGTAACATCATGACCCGAGGCACGACCAACCAGAAGAAAGTCAGTCCTGCAGAGGTTGTCTTGGAAAGGGCTGCACCCTCCCCCGAGCTGTTTCCCAGAGCTGTTTCTGGTAAGAGTGAGGTTTGAGGCAGGAACCCGCCCTTGGAGCGTGGAGGCATTATCTTTATAAAGTGTGCCGCGCCAGCATGGCCAAGGGTGAACCTGAGTTGGGGCGGCTGAAAGGCGTAGAAAAGACAGACAAGAGAATGAAAGATCGATCTTGGTGGGATGCTGCTTCTCTGAGAGACAGCGACCACATCCACAGTCATGTCTTTATTTTATAGCAGATGCCACGAGGCAAAGTAAGAGCATGACCAAGATGTTTACAACATTCTCCTGGGTTTCAATCCTACTCAACTACATGCACCTGAACTCTATCAAGCCTACATCACTCAGGCACGTGGGGCCATGTGTTTAGACCATAGGTTCAAGCTTACAACTATAGCTGTTGTCTATAATTGGGCTGGTAGAGCCCTGCCCTCCAAGCTGGGACTTGCACGTGACAATGAGAGGACTGCGCCCTTTCATCAGTCCAAGGCTTGACCCTGTCCAAAACACTGTAGCGGCTCCCCACAGTAAAGTTTTAATAAATTATATTAGAGGTTGTGGTGGTACTGTTTTACCCACAGTGTCTACAGGAATTTCTGCAAATTTACTTCTTCGTGGAAGAACCTTTCATTCCCAATATAAATGACCAATTCCATTAAATGAAACTTTAATTAATAGACTTGATATAAACAGTGAAGTTGCTAAAACTATTAAAAAGGCCCAACGGAGAGACCAAGATGGCGGCATAGGTAAACACCGCAGACTGCTGCCTCAAACAACCACTTCAAAAATACAACTAAAAGACGGAACGGACATCACCCAGAACCACAGGAAGGCTGGCTGAGGAGAGACTCTTCAACTAGAAGGAAAAATAACAGCACACCGAGGCTCAGAGGAGGCGCAGTGTGGAAAAAACTCAGGTGCGGAGGTGCGCGCGCAAAGCGGGCTGGTGGCTGAGAGCGCGGTTGTCGTTTTCGGTCAGGGGGGAGTCTCAGACTCTGAGCTCCAGATACGGGCGAATCGCTGGGGACTCGGACCCAAACGGGAGAAGCGGGAGTGTCTGGCATCAGTTGGAAGGCAGCTTTCCCTCCGAGGTTTGCAGCGGTTCCGGGGGTTCTGAGAAGCAGAGCCTCTGGGAACAGGACTGAGGGCACCATAACGGCTCCCTCCGCCCGCCCTGTTGAGCCCGCCCCGCCCAAGCCCTGCGCAGAGCCATTTGCCGGATCGCCTCAGGCAAAGGCTAGATTAGCACCTCCCCAGAGGACAGAAGTTTTCCGCGGCAGACACAGCTGATTCACACAGCCAGTCGGCCTGGTGGTCAAATCCCTCTAGTATTAACTACAACAATCAAGGCTCAACTAGAACAAGACTGCGCACAAAGACCACTAGGGGGTGCACCAAGAAAGCATAAAAAATGCGGAGACAAAAAAACATGACAGAAATGGAGGATATAGAGCTAAAAATCGCAATTTTGAGGGCTTGCAAAAATGTGCTAGAAGCTGTCAATAAACTTGAGGAGAGAGTCACGAAAACTAATGAGACCCTCGATGCTATGATAAAGAACCAACTAGAAATTAAGCATACACGGACTGAAATAAAGAATATTATACAGACACCCAATAGCAGACCAGAGGAGCGCAAGAATCAAGCCAAAGATTTGAAATGCGAAGAAGCAAAAAACACCCAACCGGAAAAGCAAAATGAAAAAAGAATCCGAAAATACGAAGATAGTGTAAGGAGCCTCTGGGACAGCTTCAAGCGTACAAACATCAGAATAATTGGGGTGCCAGAAGATGAGAGACAGCAAGATATTGAAAACCTATTTGAAGAAATAATGGCAGAAAACTTCCCCCACCTGGTGAAAGAAATGGACTTACAGGTCCAAGAAGCGCAGAGAACCCCAAACAAAAGGAATCCAAAGAGGACCACACCAAGACACATCATAATTAAAATGCCAAGAGCAAAAGACAAAGAGAGAATCTTAAAAGCAGCAAGAGAAAGAGACTCAATTACCTACAAGGGAATACCCATACGACTGTCAGCTGATTTCTCAACAGAAACTTGGCAGGCCAGAAGGGAATGGCAAGAAATATTCAAAGTGATGAATACCAAGAACCTACAACCAAGATTACTTTATCCAGCAAAGCTATCATTCAGAATTGAAGGTCAGATAAAGAGCTTCACAGATAAGGAAAAGCTAAAGGAGTTCATCACCACTAAACCAGTATTATACGAAATGCTGAAAGGTATCCTTTAAGAAGAGGAAGAAGAAAAAGGTAAAGATACAAATTGTGAACAACAAACATGCATCTATCAACAAGTGAATCTAAGAACCAAGTGAATAAATAATCTGATGTACAGAATGAACTGGTGATTATAATGAATCAGGGACATAGAAAGGGAATGGACTGACTATTCTTGGGGGGGAAAGGGAAATGGGAGATGCAGGAAGAGACTGGACAAAAATCGTGCACCTATGGATGAGGACAGTGGGTGGGGAGTGAGGGCGGAGGGTGGGGCAGGAACTGGGAGGAGAGGAGTTATTGGGGGGGGGAAGAGGAACAAATGTAAGCTGAACAATAAAGATTAAAATAAAAATTAAAATAAAAATAAAAATAAATCAATTAAAAATATCCCAGGGTGAGGATTAAATAAATAAATAAATGAACAAACAAACCAGAAAAATAAAGTTATACATTACATAAATTAATATTATTGTTATCAATCCTCTAATGATTCTGAAATCTGTGTTTACTGGTAAAAACTAAAGCATTAACAGTTTGTTTATGATCATTCTTATTAGCATCTGATTGAAAGAAGCAACATATTTTCCATTAATACACCCATTTATTTGTTCTTTCCTTTGTAGTGACTAGTGAAAGTTAGGGGCGCTGCCCCCTGTCACGCACAAAGCAGGGCCCATCAGGGGGTTGGGGCTCCGTACCCTGTCACCCACAGAGCAGGGCCGATCAGGGGGTTGGGGCACTCCCCCCGTCACACTCAGGGCAGGGCCGATGGGGAGGTTGCGGCTCCACCCTGTCACACACAGAGTAAGGCCCATGGGGGGTTGGGGCGCCGCACCCTATCACACATAGAGCAGGGCCGATCAGGGGGTTGGGGAGCTCCCCCCTATCAGGCACAGAGCAGAGCCGATCAGGGGGTTGGGGCGCCTTCCCCTGTCACGAACAGAGCAGGGCGGATAGGGAGGTTGTG